CACCTTTCCCGAGTCACCTCAGGCTCACCCCTGTGTTGACCGTGCCTGTTCTGCTGCCATCAGTGCCTCAGTGCACAAAGCAACACCTTCTGACCTGCAAAAAAAGAAAGCTCCCGCCACCCCCACCAGATGAGGTCTAACCTGTTGCTGGAGGCTATGTGTCAGGGCAGCAGCTCTTCCAGCTGGATACAGCTGTCCTTGGAGACATCTTCTCCACTACCAGGTTCAGTGTAGTGGAACCCTTCCTCTGCCAACTAACACACCAAAGCCCAAGCTCTACCACCGCGTTTTTTCAACATTTTCTTCTGTCTCCTAGGACCAATGAGTAGGTCTCGAGTCACTTAAATTTCCCTCTGCCAGCCTTCCCCTTTTTGTTCTGAGTAAAGGATGAGTTCCCTCTAAAGCAGGTCAGGTCTCCAGCAACTAAACTACTACTTGTTGTTTGAGGTTGACATACCTACACCCTTCACACAGGTTTTTCTTTTTGTGAAAAAAATACGTTAGCCAGTCTCCTGTGCTCACCTGCCTTCACTATAGTTGCGGGGATTTCAGAGGGAACTCCAGAAAACAGCAGACTTCACAGCTTAAAAGAAACTTATCCAGAAGTGCCCTGTGCCAAAAAAGCAACAAAAGTAGGGAAGTCCCAGGGATGTCTTCCCACCCATATTTCACGAAAATAAAGGGGACATTTTTGGGACTTGAGTGATATTTTATATTAGCTCACCCTGTAACTCACATCTACTGAAGTGGAAAAGTACTATATTTATCCAAATTTTACTGCTTCTTCAATGGTCTGGGGAAACTTGGAGAATAAAAAAGAAAATGGTAAAAAGGGTCTGGAAAGTAAGAGGGCTTCTTCTTTGGAAGAAAGGGAGGAAACTGGAGCTGAGCAAGGAAAGGGTAGTTCTGAAGTAATAGATGAAGACCAGAGGTAACCTCAGGGCAGGCAGAGGTAAATGGAAAGTACTCCAGGCAGACCAGCAATGGCAGAAAATTCAAAGTCTTTTTATATTCATAGAAGAGCAGGACACAAAAATCCCTTTCTGCCCTATTCTGTGCTCTCATGTTTCTTTTTACAGGGACCTGGCTTAGCTCAGCAATCTCTGCCGAATTTCGCAGAGTTCTTTGTACATCACTTTCTCTGGAGCTGGTGGTGGATGAGCTGACACCAACTCTCTGGCACGACAAAACCTTTCAAGTCAGTGAGAAAGAGAGCAAATAGAGACCTCTTGTCACTTGTCCTAAAACCCAGGGAGTTCTTTGTTCCTCTCCTTTCATTCCTTCACTTGCAATAGACCCTGTGTCCTGGTAGAAGAGGCAATCTGAAATCCCTTCCATCACAAATGTGGTCTATTCTTTCCTCTCCCTTGAGGGTGGACATACTCTGCTGGTCACATATTTCTTGGTTCTTCCCTTGATTTCTGGACTAATGACCTCTCTTAAGCAGAACCAGTTGAGCCAGTAACCAGTGAAACTTGTACAGGTTTAAGAAAAAGAATGATACAGCTGATGCAACTTACCATTATTTAACAGGGAAAGAAAAAAAAAGAAAAAAGCTTTAGAGAATGACTGGAGTCAGTGACAGATTCCAATAAAATCAAACCCACTAGGTTTTACAAGGCATGTTGCCTGCTGGAGGCTTACATCAGGACTGTTAGGCTCTGCCGATTCCCTTCCCGTCAGGCTCTGCTCGTATAAATTAGCATATCCCCCTTAATCATCGTATTTAAGCAATGCTTCCTCAAGTCATAAATGCTCAAACAGGTCTACTAGGATGTCGAGCGGACCTGCCACCAGCTGTCATTTTGCTACTGATTCAACCACGCGACCATGAACAAACCACATCTTTTCTCTCTCTCAAACTCACTTCTTTAGGACAAACAATGAGATGCTAACTGGTTTATAGCTTGAAATCCTGCCACTTTCTCCGGAGCAAACTGCAAACTGTTTCTCAGCAGAGAAAGTTAACCACGGGGGTGGGGATACAACCACAGAAAAGTTCTGGAGTCCCTTGGCAAGAAAGGGCTGGATACCTTCTCCATTTTCCTTTGCTTTCCACCTCTAGAATAGCTGTGTAAAATGGAAGACACCTGAATTTAAACTTCGCTGTAGAAGGAAGCTTGGTATGAGATGGACTTAACAGGAGTGGGGGTTGTCAGGCATCACAAAGCCGTGCATCTTTGGTCCAGCTCAGATATCCATGCCTAAGCTCACATTCTCTTCCCTTCTCTCATTTCCCAGTGAAACCTGTTGGTCTTTTTGTGTTGATGACTGTTCACACCTCTCTCGATGATCTTCATTTACATGCCTTTTCTCTGCGTGAAGGCTGAGCATCCTGGCAGCCAGAGGCTGTGCCTACCGCTGGTTGTGCGGACTCTCTCGGAAATGTGCTGCGTATTACATAGACTGACAAATGTATTTGCACCCCAGACAGTGCAAGTCCTAGTTTCCTAGGGACAAGAAACTAGGAGGAAATCAGTTTGATAGTCAAGAGAAGCATATTTCATAAAAGAAAGGTGAGACAGTCATTACAATTTTTTATATTCATTTCTGCCCTCCCACAGAGCCTCCTTCAGCTCTTGGGACAGGCACACTAAAAAGAAAGCAAGCTTAGGCACGTAATCTGGGTCTTGTTAGCGAGGCTGGCTTTGGGACAGCTTTGGTCTCAGTTTTCTGTTTTGTTTTGCTTCTAAAACCAGTCATGTTTTTTCCTTCTGAAAGGCAACACTACAGTTACAAGGGCTGAAAGAAACAATTCATCAGGAAGAATCAAAGAGCACTTCTAAACTCCTATCTGAAGAATAGTGAAAAACAGATAATCTGTAGAAATACAGTTCTGAACTGTTTTTAAAAAGCCCTCACATGAGACCTTCTGGAAAAACAGAGACTTTTTCTGCCTATTTGTTTGAGCCATTGGTGTGCATTTCATCATGTTTTCCTTTTTCCTTCTGAATCACCAAAGCTAACTTTTTGCTCTTAGAAAAACTACACTTTTGCACGGATGATAAATCTTATACTCACTGCCAGAAGTAAGGAGGTGAGGCCATTCCTCTCCCCCTCCTTCAGCAGGCTCTGAACGGGGAAAAAGTTCTCTTTGAAAAGCAGTAGTTAAACTCACTTGCCTCTTCTTTTATTGTTGTGTCAATATATACATATATACACACACACATATATTGATGGCTTCCAATCACAGCCACAACTGAAGATCACGTACTTGTCCATGAGTACCATGGAAAAAAACCACAGATAATTTCTCCGTAAAAAAAAAAAAAAAAAAAAAAAAAGCATGTGACATGGCAAACTTCAAGACAAGCTGAAACAGTACATAATTTTCAGAATGCAGGGAACAGTTACCCTTAAATGCTGAGCAACTCTTTGTTAAAACATCACTTGACATTGACTTCTAAAGGTCCCTTGGTCAAGAAGCCCAAGATTGTTTTCTAAAGGTCTGCTGACCAAGAAGCCCAGCTGCAGGAAAACAGGAGGCAACCCTGGGCAAAACTTGTCAGAGGGATTTGGGCAACCCAGATGCTTTCTCAGGTACTACCAGCTGCCTGCCATTTCCACTTCTTCTCTAGCATACCTTCTTTTATTTATTGCAGGCCAGCCTGGAAGCTTGGAGAACAGACTTGTGAACATTTCCACATTTCCTTCCCTGGTCCTTCGCAAAAGCTCCTTCTCCAGGAGACCAAGGCAGGACTGAACTCAAAGGCCCAGTTCCTTCTGTCAGTCCCTTTCAACATCTTCTCTTCCAGAGACCTCAAGTCAATGTCCACCACAGGGCAAACCTCAAAGTCATTTCGTTGTGAATGTCTTTGGATACAGTGGTGGTAATTTCTTGATACCTGGGATAGGGTTGCTGGATACCAAAAGACTATTTAAAAGTCCGAAGAGAAAAAAAAAATAACACTAGTAAGCTATTGTTTTAATGGAAGACCCACTGGAGGCGTTTTCACTTTCATTCATCATCTCCCCCACTAGAGGGTACTCCGCTATTATAAAAGAAAGTGCTCTACGCTGAGGAGGGACCGTGACACAAGCTGCTAGAAGAGCCTTTGCAAACACATTGCAAGGAGGTTTCTAACACGCATTGTGTAGTGAATGATATGGGGAGCTAGAGGGGAAGCTTTCCAGCTCGAGCCCTTAAAAGCATAACTTTTTTCGAAATACCGATCTTGGTACTGTTCCGCAGGTCTTGCTGCATCCACAGCACAGATCGTCCTGCCTGATTACTTGTGAAATATCAACAGGCATCCTGGGACACAAAACCTATTCACTGGTTTGTCTGGCTCCATCCTTGCTGGTGCTCACATGCTCACCCACGCTCTCCAAGTGCTGCACCAGGGACACAGAGGCTCTGCCCCTGGTCTGTGCTGGTGGCTGGAACTTGGTTTCTCTTGCTTGGATCTCCCCAGTCACTGGCACCCAGGCACATGTGCCTGCTGGCTTGGGGTCCTGGCCCAGCTGCTGATACCCCATACACACATGCACACCAGCTAGGGAGTCGCTCACCCAGGGAAAGGGTTAGAAATGGAGTTTAATGAGAAGACAGGACAGACCATGGTGACTAGGCACTGGGCATGGCCAGACAAGAGTACTGACCAGACTCCTGTGCACATAAGACCAGACCCTTTTATCCCTCCATTTTCCCAAGCTTTTTCATCCCCAAATCCCCTTGATTCCTCCCTTTCTCACCTTTGGTTCCTCCCCTAAACATCCCATAATAAGTCCTATGTAATCCCAAAATGCTCTTCCCCTGCATCCCCTCATGTGTCCATACCCCTTTAGGCAATGACACCCCCTTAGTTTGAAAGGTGCTCCGCTGATGACTCCTCCGGATGGGTTTCGCAGCCAGACCCTAGGGCTGAGGCTTTCCTGAGACATCTCTTGGAGGGGCCTGGGCAAGGTGCCCCTTCCTCTGGGTCCTTAGTTTGGGCTCCCTACCTTGGGCCCTCTCGCTCCTCTGGGCTTGTGGAGGTGGGCCTTTAGAAGGCTGATGTCTATTCCTCCTGAGCTTGGGAGCAGCTGAGGTGGGGTGCTATTTGGACTCCCCCAACTACCACTGCCTCTCTGTCCTCCTTCATGGATGCGCAGCCAAGCTCCTTGACGCATAACCCAACAGGTCCTCTCTCAAACGTGTTGTGGATGTTGCTCTTCAGGTTCTCTGCTTCCTCTGAAAACAAGCGCCTGCAATATTTTTTCTCTCTCAGGTTTCTCTTCAGACCTGGTAGACGTTTGTGAAGTGAGGAGCCTGGTGTCTGTTTCTGCAAAAGACCCAGCACAGTGGCGTGGTAACCACAACAAAGGTCTATGTTATCTGGCAGAGAGAAGTGATGAGAACACAAAACTGCTCCTGTTCACAGTACAGGACTAGCAAGAGCTTTCAAGGAGAACAAGGAACCTGTGGGAGGTCAGAGGAAAGTGGCTAGTGGGGGTGACTCCCAGCTGTGGTCACTTACTGGCTTTGTCTGTGGATGCCACCAGCCCTCCCGAGCACCTTCATGCCTGCGTGACCAGAAGGGCAGGGCAGATTTTTCTGGGGAAACTTCTATGTGAGGCTGCTGGTTGCAGCACCTGAGCTCTGCCGTGGTCCTTCACTTTGTCCAGGAGGGACATCCCATCTGTCCTCCTGAGCATTTCCAGTACCTCTTCCATGCCTTTGCATCTAACCATTAACTAACTTTCCTCCTTCACGCTCCAGGCCTTCCCCAGCATAGCTAGAGGTTAGATGGTGTCATCTACCTGGTGTGGCTGTCCCATGCAGCAAAGACATGGCAGCAGGAGTGGACCCCAGCTCCCAGTGGAAGGGTTTTGTCACGTTCCTGGTAAGCATTGCCAAGGCTTTTGAAAAATGTGAATAGTTATTAGAAGCCTTGGATGTTTGCATTACCTTATTTTGATAAGCAATCTGCTGGTCCTTCGATGCATGCAGGCTCACAGCTTTCTTGCTTTGCTCTTGGTGTAAGCCTTTCTCCTTTGCAGGTGTTCTGGGTGCACTACATCCCTTCTGACTGAAAAAAACCAAACCCATTAAACTAGTAACATAATGCTTAGAAACCTCTGGCATTTAGAGCAAATCTTGCTATTTTAAAGATGCTCTTACCACCTGGATAAGTTTCCAGGGCAGGTATATAAGAACACCAACAGGGAACAGAAAGGCAAATTTCGGGAGCACCTCTCTTATGAGGACAGGCTGAGAGAGTTGGGCTTGTTCAGCCTGGAGAAGAGAAGGCTGCGGGGAGACCTGATTGCGGCCTTTCAGTACCTAAAGGGGGCCTACAGGAAAGAAGGGGACAATCTTTTTAGTAGGGCCAGCTGTGACAGGACAAGGGGGAATGGTTTTAAACTGAAGCAGGATAGGTTTAGACTGGATATAAGGAAGAAATTCTTTACAATGAGGGTGGTGAAACACTGGGATGGGTTGCCCAGAGAGGTAGTGGAGGCCCCATCCCTGGAAACATTCAAGACCAGGTTGGACGGGGCTCTGAGCAACCTTATCTAGTTAGCGGTGTCCCTGCTCGCTGCAGGGGGGTTAGACTAGATGACCTTTAGGGGTCCCTTCCAACCCAAAACATTCTATGTTTCTACGAAATTACAAGATGAAGGCAAGGCATATGATTTGCAAGAAAATTGAAATTATTCTTACTTTTTCCTTTTTCTGTTGATTAGTTTCATGATGCAATGTATCAACACTAAGAACATCACAACTATTAAGACTGCCATCACAATTATGCTCTTCTGAACACCTACAAAAAGAAACCAATAAGTTCACACAAAACATAGAGGGGTGTCAATATGTTTCTTGTGTCCTCTTCCAGAGATTAGGACTGAAGTGAAACATTCATCAATTTGTGCCCATTTATTCTTTGAAGATGATAAAGGAACAGTGTAACAACCTAACACTGTGGTAGATGAGGAATTATTTTATTTTTTAAATAAATATCAATAACATCTCACACTTCCCACGTATTGAGGAAACCAAACGCCAGCATTTTTACTCCTGAATCTATTTGTCTTTCTCTTTCTGTATGAAGAAGTTTTATCATGAGGGAAGTCTCCCGTCCTTCCTGATACGTACCCTCCTTGCAAGATCTTCCATGTGAAATGCTCCTCAGCATTTGACAGCCAGGGGCCTGCTCTGCTGGTACCCTCCAGCTGTGGATACTGCTGGAGAGCTGATGGCATCTGCTCTAAATCAGTGACTATGTAGAAATACAAACATACAGCTACATATACACATATGGACCCACAAATCTACGTATTTATTAGCGTGTGTGTGTGTGTATATATATATATATATATGAACACACCCAGCACGCAGACACAAGGGTACCCCAGGAATGAGTCTTCTGGATGGTTTCAAATAATGAAATCTTCATCTAGCATGAGGTCTGAACTCCCAGAAAAATGTCTAGTGAAACCCACCAAGTACAAGCTGCACTCCCACAATCACCCATCCTTTCCTAAGCATTCCCCACTGCATGCTGCACCTCTCCATACAAATGCAGCCTACCTTCCCTTTCTTTTCCCAGGTGAACTGCCTTCATTTTCCTTCCTTGTGGGTGGTCAAGGAGGCAGGCCAAGGCACGGACATGGTTGGCAGAGAAGGTAAGTCTGTTTGCCACCGTTACCGTTCCGTTTGCGTGTTGGACGTGGTGTATCTCAGGCGACTCATCCAGTTCTCCGTCATCCAGCCAGGTGATTTTGGGGGCAGGCTTTCCTGTTGCTGAGCAAACTGCGGTGAGGAGACCCTCAGTGGACAGGCGGGAGTCATATTCCACTGTTAGCTCAGAAATTGCTGAGAGGGAAAAGAGCAGGTACTTTTTACACTCTGTGGTAAGTTTACGGTCAAAGGCAGATAGGTCACCTCTCTGTATGGGGGTTCTTATCTGAGAGCATCTCCCACCTCATTTGCCTTCAACCTCCTCTGAGGAAAGGTGTGGCAATTCTGGAGACTATCCACCAAGGAGATGCTGCTGCACAGAAAGTCTGATGCAGTGGAGGGGATAGTGCCTTACCCACCTCCTGACTACGACAGACCTGTGCCGAGTGCTAGAAAGCCAAAATGTGCTAGGAAAGCTTACTTTGGATGTTGAGGCATATATCTTTGCTGAAAGAGCCAAAAGGAAACACGTTGAAAATGCATCTGTAACAGGACTCATCCTCAAATGTGAGATTTTGGAGTGTCATAGCTGAGATCTTCAGGGTTGCATTAGTGAAACGTGCCTTCTTCTGAAATGACCCTATCAGCCTCAGCCCAAGGTGTGGGCTGTAGGTAGCTATGTCCTGGAAGGAAGACCCATTTTTCTTCTGCCAAGTGACTTGCAAAACATCCACTGAGAGCAAGAAGTTGCAATAGAAATTCACATCTCCACCAAGGGCTGCTGCAATAACGCTATCAGATTTCACAGCTTCCTTCAAACCTAGGAACAAAGCAAACCCCAAAATCAGAGCAAGAGGAAAAGCATTCACTTGGGGAAGGCTATAGTGCCTTGAAGCGTCCAGTCACAGCGTTCCCATCTTGCAAAGCCCTGGAGCAAGAAACTCCACCACGAGGCCAAGTGGCACACTGGGACACCTCAAACGGCCTTGGTCTCATGGGTGGCCGTCACATCACCAGCCTATGCTGTGCGTTTCTTGTGGCAAGGAAGGCAGCAGCGTGGGAACAGAGGGCAGGCAGGCTCCTTAGCATGCACAGCAAACTCAAGCCCCGGGCTCGTCTGCCTGCTTCTTCCCAGTGTGTTACTCTTAGCTCACCTTTGTCCCCAGGAGCTCAGAGGTGTCCTCTACAGATCTGACACACTGCAGCCACCCAGCAAAAGGAGTTCTCGCTCCCAAAGCATCCCTGCTCCCCTCTCACCTGCAGGGGTGCAGGGGGAGGCAGGGCAGCCCAGGGCACCCCACAGTTGGGAGGCAGTGCAAACAGCTGCAGAAGAATATCCCCCTGCTCCGGCCTCTCCCAACAGAAGTGTGCACTGTCCAGACACATGCATTAGAAACACAAAGCTGCTCCATCCCTTCTGCTGAGGAGCTCAGCAATGCTTACAAAGAAAGGGAATATACAGGCTGAATATACAGCTGGAGTGCAGAGACGCTCTGTGCCCTCTCTGACCCTCATTTCCCGATTTTGCTGCTGGCCAGCCCCCACCCAGATTACTAGCTGCTGTCCCAGTTACCAATTAGAATTTTCAGTTAGGATGGCATCTGGGTCTCCCTGCTTGCCAAGAAAGGCTGGTGCTGCTCCAGAGTTAACCTTTGTGGGGGGGGAAGGGTACTCCACTCACCCATCACCGGCTCCTCCAGCTGGAAGCCTCCAAAGAGCAGCAGCAGGCGGCAGATTTCAGCCCAGAAAAACGAGGGGAAAAGCATTGTGGGACAGAGCAATTGCCCAGGAAAGCTTGCCCCCTTTCCCCACATCCCTCTGAGGGCAGCCGGTGTACCCAGGGGGATGGTTCAAAATTTTGCGCCTTTTTTCAAGCGCGCTCCTCGGAGGCCAATCAGCAAAGCTGTAGTGGCAGGGACCAGCCAGGCAGGAACTGTTCCCTCCCTTCCTCCCAGGAACCTGCTTAATCATTAATCACAACGAACTGGAAAGAAACAGCACTTTTTTTTCCCCCCCAGCAGCAACGTTTGGTGTCAGCCCTGTCCTGCTGAGCTCCGCTACGAGCGCCATCGGAATGACGGGCACCTCACAAGGTGCAAATGTGGGATCTGCCTGGTAAGCACAGGTGGTGGCTGGCAGAGAGGGAGGAAACAAGGGGCCACAGGCCCTGGCAGCTCCCACTCCCTTTCTTTTTGGCAGGGATGGGGCAGGGAGGCACTGCCTGTGGATCACCACCTCTGCTGGGCACCACCCCGGGCACCCATCCCTGGCTCCTTGAGGAGGCCACTTTCCTCCCCAGGACCCGGCACAGAGGACATGCAAGCAAGAACAGGAGAAGATTCTACGCCAAGAGGGCAGTATCGAGGCACCCACCACCGCCTCACCCCAACCAACAAGCACACCAAAAATGCCAACTGGATTATGAAAGGAGTCCCTGCAGGGGGCAGGTTTGGCTGAAGTCCCAAATGTGTTTACACCTCATTTAATTCCAGAAAGGAAAAGCCAGGGGTGTGACAGTGCTCCTGGGCTCAGGGGCAAGGTCTTGTCCCCAAGGGTTTCTCTGTAAAACCACACAGCACAGCTCCTGGCCACATGGTAATCCAGTGGTGAGACTAAGCACCGTGTGAAGTTTCTAATTGTATTTACAAAAGGATACCCGCCACAGTCTATACAATTTTTCTGGTTTGTTTTTTTTTTTTCTTTAAGAAAGGGAGAAGGCTATCTTACAGGAAAATGTGAGAAGCAAATACCATGCCCATTCTGTCTGTGTTCGTCTCTGCTATTTACAAATTTGACCATCAGGAGGGGCAGCATAATGTTTTAGATTTCTTGCAGGTTTCCATGGATTTAGATTTCTCCCCCGCCCCCCAATCTTGTAATTCATAAAAAGGCAAGATGGACCCCAGAGCATCCCTCCTGGCACCTCCGATAGGGGAAGGGGCTCCGTCCAGCCTCTCACTGGGCTCACAGCACCAGCGTGCACTGCAGGCAAAGAGCAGGGAAGTGAAAATGGTGCATACCATTGTGTCAAAACCTTTCCACAGGGTCCCTCAGGGATTTTCAGCTTCTTTCCGCTTCCCTGGCTCTGTCACCTCTTTCCTCCCATGCCAGCTCCCATCTCAGCCTCCTTTTTCCCAGACTTCTGCTCTGGACAGAGGGGGCTGCCTTACCCCAGTGGGTTTGGGACCCACCTCTCTGTGACTTGGAGCCAGCCCCCAGGGGTCTGCGGAGTGACGCTCTGCAGCAAACTCTATGGCACATAGTAGAGAAAGCCATGGCAACTCACTTACGTCCCCTTTCCCAGAACTGTCAACCAAATTCAGGCACTTTGTTGACAAACCAAAAAAACCTCAACAAAAACAAGCATCAGAGATTCTTGCGGAAGCAACTCAAGACAAGAAAGGGAGGACAAGGACAAGAGAGGATGCTGTGAAGGTTATGCGTGGACTTTCCTGGGTTAGGAGGGCTGAAGAGCAAGTGGAGGTGAATATGCTTAATGCACACGGGCAGCTGCCTGCAGACACGAGCTCGGACCCAGCCCTAGCAAACACTAAGTAGCCAACACAAAAACATCACTGCAACGTGGATCTTGCACCCAAGAAACAATAGACAGAGCAGAGCAGATCTGCTCCTCTCCCATCGGTCCCCAGAGCCCGGCTGGAGACAAGGAAAGCCAACACACATGCAGGCACCATGCATAGAGAGTTTTGTGGAGGTATATCTTCAGTTTCATTCCTACCTGAGAGGGGAGGTTGATGCAATCACCTTAAATCATGCCCCCTTCTCCCCTTCTAGAAACTCTTCATTATCCAGGCAGCAAAACCAGCTTGGGTATTTGTGCTATGGCAACAACCTTTACCTTCTGAATCTCACTGCTTTTTTTTATCCAGGCAAGGATTCTACCAGCCAGCTGCATGCTGCGGGGCAAAACATGCCCCCATCTACCCACATACAAAATAATAACATACAAAAATGGCACTTGTACCTCTAAAAAGTCCTGGTAACAGGTCAGATTATTGAAACAGAATCCATTCAACTTCTTACATTGTTTCCCACATCCCTCCTCCCCGACTTTTACTTTATTTTATGTAGTTCCTGAACTTTGCACGCAAAGAGAAACTGGCTGGTTTCTGTGTCCAGGCATTTGTCAGAGGCCCTGGAAAATGCAGTTGTTTGTTTAAGAAGAGTTGTCTTGGAGAACTGCTTGTCCAAGTCAGGCTTCAATGCTTTCAACTTTTCAGATGAAGCAGCATGTTTGGACTGTAAGTACTGGAGAGCCTGACCTTAATTAATTAATTCTTATTGTCTGAAAAAAAATAAAATCTGCAGAACTGCCATAAGATAAACTGAAAAGACTGCTTTCTGGGGCCGCTCTCTTTTTCAGGCTTCAGTTTTGTTATTTCCACTGATGCCAAAGAAGAGAATTACTAATGAAGACAGTTTTATAGCACTGTATTTCACACACACACACACACACACACCCCCTTCCCTTTCCATTGATTTATGTTTCTTGTTCTCAGTTCTGCCAGAGACCAAGGGGCACCCTGCTCCTGGCCACAGCCTGCAGATGAAAGGGTGAGGAGGGAAGGAAACGTTGGCTCACTCCTGGTTGCAAGCCCAGACCTGCAGGCTCCTGAGCTGTGCAGACACTCTGAGAACAGGTTATCACTGAAAGGGTTCACCCACGCACACACGCTGCCTGCCGGTAGCATGCTTACTTCAACTAGGAAGGTATGGGGATTTTGGACTTTTGATCAGAAACTGACTGGGGAATGTGGAACACAACACCCAGTGCCACCTCCCTCCTGCAGCACCAGCTCCCAGCTGTGCCTGCCCTCTCCTTCCCTGGCTGCATCACCCATAGCCAATGTCATGTCATACAGCAGCTGGCACCAACCCAGGGGCAAAAAGAGACTGTCCATCACTAACTCACTCCCCAGACGTCACAAAAAAGGGCACTCACTCATGCACTGAAGTGGTACTCTTTCCAAGCACTCCACAAATTCCTTTTCCCAAGCTCTTGGCACATCTCCTCTGTGGTTTGGTTGTCAAACTGGCCAAACGTCTCTGGGCAATTAGCATGCTAACACCTTGCAGAAGTGAGAGGCCACAGAGCAGTATAGATCCCAGATAACATCCTTATTGCAAAGCTCATCTTGTGAAAAGTGTTTCTCCTGGAAGCAGGACTTGTTTTCTAACGAATTGCCAACCTGGAAGATTTCTTGGGGAAATCATTCCCCCATTTGGCTCCACCTAGAGACCCTACCCTTAGGCTTTGCGCGTGGCCTTTTGCCCAGGTCACCTGTCCTTCCCTCCTTCCTCCCCAAATCCCACTTCTCAGCTCAGGCCCGTGGCAACCCTGGATGGAGAAGGCCCAGAGGTGCCCAGCAGCAGAGGGGCGATCCAGGCAAGAAGACAGCATCTTCAAAGGTGTGGTGAGATGGAATAACATCAGGTTATCATAGTGTGTACACAGGTAGAGGAAACAACCTCAAACAGACCAGGAGAGGCAAACTACATGGCTGGGTCAAGTAACAGCAAAGCCAAAGACAAACTTTCTGCAATTTGCAGCAGAGGTTGATAGTACAGTATCAGGTCTGGATCCCATGGACCAGAAAAAGAGCAAAGGAAGAAGAAATGTGCTAAGAGAATAAGGGAAGCTGTAGAGAATAAAGTAGAGAGTCCCCAGACCTTCTCGCTTACCTTTCAGGAAAAATATCTGTCCCTCTAGCGATGGCTGGTGCTGTTTCCTGGTGGCTTCTGGCTTCAGTTTTTCCAAATCGGCCTCCAAATCCATGTCTGCCAAATCCACAGCAGAATAATACAGAGTCACAAACCTGAGACTAGAAGAGTTAAAACTGCACGATGACCACAAGTTCCTTCTGTTGGGCCAGAGCCCACTGGAGAGCCTGGTGCATCACCCCCCTTCAGGCTGGGATGTTACTACCTGTTACCCAGGATTCAGCCCCCCTTCTTCTGCATCCTAGTCAGAAGGTTTCCACACCAGAGGAGCCTGCAGGGAGCTCAGCACTTTCTGTTGGTGGTGCAGCGAGGTCTCGGTTTCCCCGTGCAGCCTGATCTAGACTCCGAGGAACGCCTTCAGATTGTCTTGATGTGGTCAGAAATCTTTACAATAAAAATTTTCAGAAAGAAATGTTGAAGTTACATACATCAATAGATACTGAAGCATTGAGTAGAAAACTGACACCTTGCTTCTCTTAATAAATCCGTGTTAGAAAAGAGACAGCCTACATTTAATACCCTTAAAATGAAACTGTTCTGAAGTAGATCTGCAAAGATCTTCAGAAAACTATACTAGGACATTCCCCCTTTTCTCCTTTTTGTGTATAGGTTCAGAGAAAAATCTGGAGCAAAGAAAGATATTTCTTCTTACTCAGCTGATGGGCAGCTAAAACCCCACCACAATCTCATTTATGAAAATAGCTACATTCCTGCAGACAAGGAAGGCTCAAGGCAAACTGGTTTCTTTAAGCCTAAAACGTAACCCTGGGTGTTTATGACGGACATTCTGTTACTTATTTGAAGGATGCTATCAAATAAAATATCCCGTTTGAAAAAAAAAAAATCTCTAATTTTTAGTCTAAAGGCGTAGGGTTTTTTTCTGCAAGCTTTTAATTGTGTCTTAGTCTTTCACGTACAATTTCAAGTGTTCTTTTGCTAGACAAGCTGCCTTTTCTTCCCTTTTCTGTTGGGTGGTTAAGGACCGCAGCTTCTGACAAGTTAGGGGAGTCAAAACTCTGTAATGTGTATGGGTCTTAGACTGAGGATTCCCTCAGACTTCCCAGAAATTTCAGGTGGCTTTTTTCAAAGCTGAGAGGACTACAACAGAGTCTATCTGCAAACAGCTTGGCAAGAGTTCAGTACTCCTTTCACACACAGCCTTGTATAAGCAAAGATAAAAGCAGCAGAGATATGAGAAGGCCCTTTGTATGGGTTCCAAAACATGAGTGATTTCTGGTATACTAAGAGTGAAAACAAAAATAGGCTTGATTTTTATCTGCCTGGTTTGATAGTCTCATTTGTGAAAGAGAAAAATGCACTCAATTAGTGCAATTCTCTTATTTCAGCTGATTTGCAGGGGCTCAGCGCTGAAAACCAAGTGAAAACCAATAGGTTATATTTTCTTCCATGTCTGACTTCATCAGAAAATTTACCGGTGTGGCATTTAGTAGATGAATCATTCCCCCATGGTCATGCAACAGAGGAATGATGCTTTCAATCTTCTATCACCAAAACAAAGTTTCTTTTCACTGTGTGGATTTAGCCCCATGTCTCTGCCAGCAGTGATTTCAGAAAAAGAATATTCTTCCTATTTCAGCCAGTGACTTGAAAAAGTCTAAGGGCAGCATCTCAGCTACATTTCAAAGCCACATCTCCAGCCAGAGCTGCTGGGGCAATTCCTTTACAGCTTACTGCTCTCTTAGAACCGGGAACCCGGTACCCAGGCAGAGAAAAATACCAACAGCCTGGCATGCCAAACCTGGAACCTGGACATTTTATACAGCCTGAGGGCCCTCTATTATACAACAATATATCAAATAGTTTAAAAGGACACTCTCTTAAGGTTAAAACCTTAACCCAAGCTGGCTAGTGTCAAGATCAAAGGATCCCAGAGCCCAGAGGTGCAGGCTAAATAATCCCATTTGCTTTGCAGAGAGAAACACATTATCCAGACCCAGTGTTACCCAAGAAAGAGGCAAACAGGAGGGTGGCAT